TCTGAGCGTGAGGCAGGTCCAGACCAGCTGGCCCCACACATGGTGCAACTCTGTCTCTATAAAACACACACCCGGCCTTCTCCCTAAATTCTTCAGTGACAGCTCCACTCAGTGTACAGAACTTGGCTGAAACTTGTTTCTGGGTCCTCCCCTCACTGCCCCACTCACTTCATTCCGGGGCTCCCCTAACTTCTCATCTGAGGGAGATAAATTGTTTCATGTCTGGTTTCCCTGAGTTGGGGGCCCTGGACGAGGGGGATGCTGTACTCAGCAGAGCCCAGGACCTGTGGGCACATGATAACTATGGATGAATGAATGAATGAAGCATCTTGTGGGTATCATTTGTGAGTGAATGAATAAGTGAATGTGGCACCTTGTTAGGTACTCGGTAACTTTGAGTGAATTAATGAGTGAATGAATGAGTGCATGAGTGGCAGTAGCTGAATGAATGAGAGTGAATGAGTGGCAGTGGCTGAATGAATGAATGAATGCAGGAGAATGAGCGACAGTAGCTGAATGAATGAATGAATGAATTCACACTGGGTCTGGTGGTCCCTGTGGGAGGCTCAGAGGGAACCAGCAGAGGGGGAGCAGCGGGAAGGGGGCCTTTTGAAGGGCTCTGAGGGCTCTTAGAGGGGTGGATATGGCAGGACACCACAACTGGATGACAGCTGTAGCAGAGTTGGGGTGGGGCAGTCCTTGACCTCTGTGGGATGATCAGGGGGTCCCAGCTCGTCCACTTCCAGTTCAAGGACTTTGGAAGGGATGGAGGATGGTGGGCACGCTCACGGTGTCAGCCATGCTACATGAGCTGCTAGGGGTCTCTTGGCCAGGACCACTGGCATATGGGGGTGGCATAAGGAGGTTCCGACCAGGAGTCCCTCGGTGACTGGGTTCTGGGGGCGTCACTGAGTCTTGTCTGTAGTTCCCTCTTGAGATGAGAGGGGGTTTTTTTTGTTTGTTTTTTGTTTTTTTTTTGAGACCGCGAGGTCTGAGCTCGTCGCGCCAGGCGTGGGGCGCCGGAAGTGCAAGTGGCCGGGGTCCTCAGCTCAGGCTGCAATCCGCCTCCCGGGTGCGCGGCCTTTTCCTCCTCGCCCATCCAGCCCACCAAGTAGACTGGGAAACTGAAGCGAGGCGCCCCGCCACCGCGGAGGTCGCCCGGCTAGTTGTTCTGTATTTTTTTGGTAGAAGACGGGGTTTCACTGTGTTCAGCCCCAGGATGCAGTCCTCGATCTCCTGACATCGTGATCCCGCCGAAGCCGTCTCGGCCTCAGGACCAAAGTCTCCGGGATTAACACGGCCTTGAGCTACCGGAGGCGCTATAAGACTCTCATGGGCAGCCAGGCGCAAGGCTCCCGCTGGGTAATCGCCCAGGCCCCTGGGGAAGGCCAAGAGGCTGGGCGGATCACGAGGTCAGGAAGGGATTCGAGGACCATCGTGGTAACACGGTGAACCCCCGTCTCTAACTAAAAAAATACAAACGAAATTAGCCAGGGCATGGTGGCCGGGCGCCTGTAGTCCTAGCTAGCCTGGGGACGGGCTAGGCAGGAAGAATGGCCCGTGAACCCAGGAGGCAGAGCCTTTGCAGTGAAGCCAAGATTGTGCCCACTGCTGCTTCCGCAGTCCTGGGGGGGAAACAGAGCAAGACCTGTCTCAGAAAAAAAAAAAAAAAAAAAAGGCCGCGCACAGGTGGCTCTCAACGGCGCACCGGCGGCTGGGAATCCCAGGCCTTGGGATGAGGCGCCAAGCAGTTGGATCACCAAGGTCAGAGATCGAGGAACCATGCCTGGCTAAACATGGATTGAAAGCGCCGAGGCCAGCCGACACCCCGCCGGGCGCCCGGCCCCATTCTTCTACACTCAAAAACCTACAATAAAAAAATTCGCAACGGGTGGTCGGTGCCGGCATTCTGTAGTCCCGTCAGCTACTTGTGGAAGGCTGAGAGCAGTGAGAATGGCGGCAATGAAACCGTGGAGGCCGTAGGTTGCCAGTGAGTCAAGACTCCAGCGCCACACCCTCCAGCCTGGGCGACAGAGTGAGACTCTGTGTCAAAAAAAAAAAAAAACTCTCATGGCTGGCCCAGCTCTGGATCAGGACTCATCAGGTCCCAGGCAGGGCTGTCAGTCCCCTCTCATTAAGAATCTTCAAGGCTGAGGCAGGCGGATCACCCAGGGTAAGGAGTTCAAGACCAGCCTGGACAACATGGTGAAACCCTGTCTCTACTGAGAATACGATAATAATAATAATTAGCTGGGCATGGTGGCGGGCGCCTGTAATCCCAACTCGAGAGGTTGAAGCAGGAGAATAGTGTGAACCTGGGAGGCAGAGCTTGCCGTGAGCCAAGATAGTGCCACTGCACTCTCAGGCTAGAGTGCAGTGGCACGATCTCGGCTCACTGCAACCTCCGCCTCCCGGGTTCAAGCAGTTCTCCTGACTCAGCCTCCTGAGTAGCTGGGACTACAGACACACACCACCACGCCTGGCTAATTTTTGTATTTTTAGTAGAGATGGGATTTCACCATGTCGGTCAGGCTAGTCTCAAACTCCTAACCTCAAATGATCCACCCACCTTGGCCTTTTAAAGTGCTGGGATTACAGGCGTGAGCCACCACACCTGGTCCTCTATCCACCTTTCTGAGGTCAAGCAGGGATCCCAGGGGTTGGTGTGGGATTAGGAGAAACCAGATCCACAAGGCACTTTTTATATGCGGTCCCTTTCTCTGCATCCTGGGCCTGTTTCCCCATCTGTGCTTGTGGGAAGCAGACGGTCCCTCCTCTGGGCTGCTCTGAATATGAACCCCACTGCTGGATGTGAGTCCCCCCAGTTGCTCTTGAGGGAGAGAACCAATATGAGCTGGACTGGATCTGAGGCTAGGGTGCTATTTGTGGGGGTTACTGCCAGGCCTGGCAAGGCCCATGGGTCCCGTGAAGCTGGATGGGGAACTGGGGTGGAACCTGCTCCCCTGGGGCAGTCGTGGCAGTTGAAGCATGGGCTGTGGTCAGACCTGCCTGGCGTCCAGGCTCGCTGTGCTGGTGACCTCTGGAGAATTGCTTTACATCTTGGAGGTCCCCTCACCTCCCGTGAAGGAGGGGATAACAGGACTGAGCCCATCAGGCCCTGAGGAGGATGAGGGCCCTTGTGGCCCATCCCTGGCAGTTCTGTTTTCTCTGGGATGGGCTGGCCGCAGGAGGTCCCTGCCTGCAACTGGGCCACGTTTCAAGGCTGTAGGGAGGAGGGGGGCACTTGTCTGCCCGGAGCATTCAGGCGGAGGATTGGGGAGCCCCAGCTCGGGCTGGCTCAATCTGCCCATCCACCGTGGAGGGGCTGGTGAAGCTGGGTGGATTCTGGGAGGAGGCGGCCTAATGGCCTGCTCGGCCTCACTCAGGAGGGTGAGTGAGGCCCCTAGGCTCCCAACAGGGACGATGGGCTGGGATCAAACCTCTGTCCCTGCCACCTACCTGGCCCTCGGTTCTGGGCCCAGCCCCTGCCCAGGCTCCTCATGCATAGAAGCCAATGTCAGGGGCCAGGCGGCTGGGGGAGATGGCAGAGATGGAAAAGCTGACCGGAGGGGTGAGGCTGGGCAGCGGGGGCGGTAGCCAGGCAGCCAGGTGTGCAGAACGAGCCCAGGCCCGAGCTGCCAGCAGGAGGGGGTCCAGAGTGGCAAGGAGGAGGCGTTGACAGCCAGGGAGGGAAGCAGAGCGGCTGCCAAGGGGGATTAGGCCCAGGAGCCCCGGGCCCCACAGGAGAATAGAGCCATTGATGGGAACCCAGAGCTGGGGCCCTGGTGCCAGGGCCTGTAGGGGGCGCCGCTGAGCTGGCCCGCTCAGCTGAGCAGGCCGGAAGCAGCTGCAGAACCAAGGTCTCAGGCCTGTTCTTGTGTCCACCATGTGGATGAGTCTCCATCTGCCGGCCGGTGCCCAGCTAGGGCCAACATGGCTGATGGGTGCCCAGCAGGTGCTCTGCAGGAGCCAGTACTGGTCAGGCTTGAGAAAGTGGCTAAGGGAGGCCTGGCAGGGAGTGGGGAAGGAAGTGAGAGGCCCCCCAATTTTGGAGCAGCAAACCCGAGTTCAAATCCAACTCTGCCACTCAGCAGCCGGAGGCACCATGGGCAAAGAAGGGGGGCTACTGGGAGCCACCTGGGGGGCATTATGAGGACTGAGGGAGAGACCACCCAGTGGGGTGCCCGCCCAAGCAAGGGCTTAGCAGCAATGGGGTCTGAGCAGCCTCCCTCCCCTCTGTCTCGCAGGCCTGACCGCCGCTGCCTACAGAGTCACACTCAATCCTCCGGGCACCTTCCTTGAAGGAGTGGCTAAGGTCGGACAATACACGTTCACTGCAGGTGAGCAAGCTGGTCTAGGCATGGCTGGGCCCTCTCCTGGCACAGCCGCAGCTCTCGGAGCACATTTCACAGCTGCCTCTTCTCCCTCACTCCCCAGCCTGTGTCCCCAGTGCCGGCCACCAGGAGAAAGTCGGGTGTTCCTTTATCGGGAACACATGTAGGGTAGGGAGGCCCAGGACACCAACTCCAGGACTGGGGCCGGGAGGCTGCCATGCACAGCAAGTGGCTGAGCCATGGCGTCTGTCTCCATGTAGACGCTGGCAGTGAGCGCCCAAGAGGCTCCTGCTGCGCCCCTCTCAGGCCCTTGCTCAGCGCCAACTCTTCCCATCTACCCCGCAGCTGCTGTCGGGGCCGTGTTTGGCCTCACCTCCTGCATCAGCGCCCAGGTCCGCGAGAAGCCCGACGACCCCCTGAACTACTTCCTCGGTGGCTGCGCCGGAGGCCTGACTCTGGGGGCACGCAGTGAGTGGACCGCTCCCCACCCCCACCTTCCTCCCAGCCTGGCAGAATGACCCCTGACCTCTGCTCATCCTCCACCCTCTCTGTTCCATCCCAGACAAGGAGCAAAGCAGCCTTCTTGAACACCAGCCATTTCAGTCATAGTGACAGTTGCTGCTGCTGCTTAAGCACTTACTGTGTACCACCACGCTAAGCCTTCAGCTCAGCCCATAGGGCCCTCCCTGACCTGCCCTGTCCCCTCTCCACCCTCCCTTCCTCACTCTGCTCCAGCCACACGGGCCTCCTTGCTGTTCCTCCCACATGCCAGGCACAGTCCTGCCCCAGGGCCTTTGCATGGCAGTGCACTGCCTGGAATGCTGTTCCCCTCACTGTCCTGACCAACCTGTGTACAAGCCAGCATCCCCGCCACCCTCACTCTGTGTCCCCTTCCTTCTGCATGCCTTGTCAGAGGACACAGGTCACCAAGGTCACCACCTGTCTCTGCCACTGGCCTGTGAGTCAGAGAGGAGATGCTGGTCCTCGCCCTGCCAGCTCTCTCCCTGCACCTGGAGCCCTGCAGGGGAGCTGCCCCCGCAACCTTCACTTTACAGAAAAGGGCATTAGGGCTCAGGGAGGGAATGAATTGGCCCAAAGTCACCTGGAGGAGCAAGTGGCCTTCTTTGCAGCCATCAGAGGGTGCAGCCCTGGTGGAGGAGGCCCCGCTTGGCACAGGGGAACCCGCTTGGAGCATGAGCCAGACACCACTCCTCCTGCTCTCCCACGGGCCCAGGCTCAGGGTCAGTGCCCGCCTGTGCCCCTGGCCTACCCTCAGCCGCCAAGGCTCGGGCCCTCAGGGCCAGCGGGAGGAGTGAATGAGCCTTCTTGCAACTCAGCCGCTCTGGCCTGGCATGTTGGGAGTGATGGATGGCAGGTTCCGGGCAGGCAGAGAGGGAGGGTGCGAGGGCAGGGCCTATTCAGTCTCTGCGTCAAGACCTTGGGGAGGCCCTGTCCCTCCCCAGCTCCCACTGGAACTGGTCAGAGGTTGGAGGTGGGTTGAGGTCTTGACTGTAGCCTAGCTTGGGCTGGAACTGCTCCCCGTCCCCAAGCCAGCCTCCCTGTCTCTCTTCAAAGAGTGTGAGTCCCTGTAGGTCCTGGTGTGTGGGACACACCTCCTTCCTCCTCTGGCCCAGGGGCTTTGGAGCAGGAGAGCCCGGGGAAGTGGGGGCACCGTCTAGGCTCCTCGGTACACCGACCACGGGACAGATGCATGGCCTAGCCCTGGCATCCATGAGCAGAGGAGAGACTGAGACACACTGATGTGTCACCACTGCCCGGTGCCCAGCCTTGCCGCAGCCCCAGGCGGGGGCAGCACAGTGTCCCTCTCATAGGAGGCAATCAGTGTGGGGCGGGATGAGGACCCACAGCCTGGGTTCCTGCTGGGAAGCGACCTGGACTCCAGCCTCCCTGTGTGCGTCAGTTTCCACATCTCCAGAGTCTAGGGCCCTCCTCCTGAGTGACTTAATCCCTGAAGAGAGTGTCCTGTCAGGGGTCTCACTCTGGCTCCCAGGGTAGGCACTGGCCAGGGCGTGGAGCATCTTGGTCCGGCCGAGCCGCACCCGGCCCTGACATCACCTCCCCACTCCCACAGCGCACAGCTACGGGATCGGCGCCAGCGCCTGCGTGTACTTGGGCATAGCGGCCTCCCTGGTCAAGATGGGCCGGCTGGAGGGCTGGGAAATGTTTGCAAAACCCAAGGTGTGAGCCCTGTGCCAGCCGGGACCTCCAGCCCGCAGAATGCGTCCAAAAATAAATTCTGTGTCTATGTGTGTGTCAGTGTCCGGAGGGCTTGGTGATGGCAACACAGCGGCCAGCGAGGGCGGATCTGGGAGGGAGTGAGGAAGGGAGATAAGATAAGGCCCCCCGCACACGCGCCTGCCTGCCGCCCGCCGTCCCTGCCAAGTGTACCAGCCTTGCCCCACAGAAGTGGTAGTGCATCAGGCTAGGGCCATCGGGAGCCAGGAGGGGAGATGGCTGGGATGCGTCCCAGCCTCTGCTTCCCCCAGTTCCCAGGGCAGGCGGGAGCGTGCCAGTGACCTGCCAGCAAGTGGAAGCTGGGCCCCGCCGCCCACGGCCCTTCCCTCAGCGCTGTCGGCTCTGGTCACAACCCCCCTGCAGATCTTGAGCTATCCCTTCTCTGGGCCTGTCCCCAAAGCCAACAACATGTGGAAAACACGCCCAGGCCCCGTCTCCAAATTCCTGGGCACTGGAGCGGAGAGCCCCGGACAGGCTGGCCCAGCAGCCGTCCCCATCCGGCAGGTCACTCGGAGCCCCTGGGGCTGAGACAGAGTGGGACAGGACGCCCCTCAGCACCTGGCTGGTGGCAGCGACAAGGGAAAGAATTGCAATCCCTTCCCGCCACCTGTCAGGCCGGTGATTTAGGTGGCCCTGGAATGCTGGCACCATCTCGGGCCCCTTTTCCAGAACTGGCTCGTGCTCCCTGGCAACTGGAGAGGAAGCCTGCGAGCTCCGACATGCTGCAGTGGACTGTAAATTAGGGCGCTCCAGGCTCCACCCAGGAGAGCGGAGCTGTGCGCAGCCCCCGTTGGGATGGATCTGGGTCCTGCTGGCAGGCCGGGGACAGCAGGAGCCAGCGGGACTGGCTGTAGCCCTCCTGCCCGCTCCTCACCCGTGTCCAGCCCCATCTCCTCCCTTTTCTCAAGCCCACCCATGGGGCCTAGATGTGGTGAAAAGCCAGACTTTCAGCCTCATATCCTTATCTGTCCGCCTCCAGGTAGTAACTCAGCCTGGAACTCCTGGATCCAAGCAATCCTCCCCGCTCAGCCTCCCGAGTAGCTGGGACTACGGCCACCGCCACTATGCCCAGTTAATTTTTTAAAAATATTTTGCGGCCGGGCACGGTGGCTCAAGCCTGTAATCCCAGCGCTTTGGGAGGCCGAGACAGGCGGATCATGAGGTCACAAGATCAAGACCATCCTGGCTAACACGGTGAAACCCCGTCTCTACTAAAAAATACAAAAAACTAGCCGGGCGAGGTGGCGGGTGCCTGTAGTCCCAGCTACTCGGGAGGCTGAGGCAGGAGAATGGCGTGAACCCGGGAGGCGGAGCTTGCAGTGAGCCGAGATCCGGCCACTGCACTCCAGCCTGGACGACAGAGCGAGACTCCATCTCAAAAAAAAAAAAAAAAATGTTGTAGGCTGGGCCTGGTGGTTTGAGCCTGTAATCCCAGCACTTTGGGAGGTGGAGGCGGGAGGATTGCTCAAGGCCAGGAGTTTGGAACCAGCCTGGGCAACGCAATGAGACCCTGTCTCTACTAAAAAATTCGTCTTTTTGAGACATAGTCTTGCTCTGTCTCTCAAGCTGGAGGGCAGTGGCAGGATCATGGCTCACTGGAACCTTGACCTCCCTGGCTCATGCGACCCTCTCATCTCAGGCCTCCCTGGTAGCTGGGACTGCAGGTGTGCACCACCACAGCCAGCTAATTGTTTTTATTTTTATTTTTTGTAGCGATAGGATCTCACTGTGATGTGCAGGCTGGTCTCAAACTCCTGGCCTCGAGCAGTCCTCCCACCTCGGCCTCCCAGAGTGCTGGGTTTATAGGCATGAGCCACTGTGCCCAGCCACTGAGTGCAGAGATTCTGGGTCTCTTCTTTCAGCCCCTGCCTCGAACGTCCTCTCTGGAGAGAGCACAGATGTCCACATGTGGTCCAGCCCAAGGTGGGCATGCAGTAGCTCAGAGTCATGTCCACTTCTGGAGCTGGGTGCCTGGGCCTCGGGCTCCCTGAGAAAGGGTGGACACGCCTACCCCGCCCCAGAGGGGCAGGGGTCCTGACACCTGTCCAGGCCCTAACAGAGTCGTTGTTAAAACAAAGGCTCTGGGTTCAAATCCCAGCACTTGATTCTTTCCTTGTTCTGTCCTCAGAGGACGGCAGCTCCCACGCCTCAGCTTTTCCACCCAGTAAATGGGAATCAGGGCCCCTCAGAGATGCCTCACAAGGAAAGACAATTCCAGCTCCCTGCAGGCATCCCATCCACTCAAGGGCACCAGCCTCCTCTGTCTCTGCTGCGGCCGGCAGGGGGCAGCGCCCACCGCGGCACGGCCTGTCAGGCAGCGTGGACCCGGGTGGTCATCCCCAGGCCCCCAGCCCCGCGGTGATGACAGGCGTCAGATTCCATCCCTTCCTCCGCACTCGAGTCCTTGTCTGTCCCTCATCCCCCTTCCTTCCCATGCATCCTGCCTGCAGCAGCCAGGTGACAGCTTCTAGGAATAGGCAATATAGCCCCAAATCTCCAGCCAAGGACACCGAAGGCTGGACAGGAGAAAAGACTAGTCCAAGTCCCCACGACGGTCACCCTCAGCCCTGCACCACAGCCGCTTCTGGGACCAGTTCCACGCAGGCCTCCGCTCCTTCCCCAGCCCTCCAGGCCCATGTGTGGCCCAAACCCTGTACCGGATCTCAGCCCTCTCCCACGGGTCACACACTCAGCAGCTCTCTCAGCCCTCTTCCACGGGTCACACACTCAGCAGATCTCTCAGCCCTCTCCCACGGGTCACACACTCAGCAGATCTCTCAGCCCTCTCCCACGGGTCACACACTCAGCAGATCTCAGCCCTCTTCCACGGGTCACACACTCAGCAGATCTCAGCCCTCTTCCACGGGTCACACACTCAGCAGATCTCAGCCCTCTTCCACGGGTCACACACTCAGCAGATCTCTCAGCCCTCTCCCACGGGTCACACACTCAGCAGATCTCTCAGCCCTCTCCCACGGATCACACACTCAGGCCCGCCCGGGGTGGGGGAACTGGAAATGTAAAGGCAACAAGCCCCTTCGCACCTCCCAGCCCCAGGTGCCCCCGTGTTCAAGGGAGCCGACAGCTCAGACCAGGGGCTGTGCTCACCGCCTACCCAGCCCATTCCGGGCCAGCTGCCAAGGTTGGCGCAGGCCTGCCAGGCCCCCCCACCCCGCCTGCAGGACAGGCCCCCCAGAATGGAACAGGAAGGGGTGGCCTCTTGCTAGGCTCCAGGGAACCCCAAAGCCCAGGCCCCCTGGCCCATAAACATTTACTAGGTTGTGGACGGCTGATGTCACTCCTGCCCCACACGCAAGAGGGCTCCCGTCTAGAACATCTGCCCCAGCGGGCTCCCTGGGGGGGCTGTGGGGGACCCTTCCGGAGTTCACCCTGAACTTCATGGAGCCCTTCCCAGCCCCAGGCAGTCGGGACTGGAACTGAGGGGCAGAGCCTCCCTGGGGAGCTAGGAGGGCTTCCTAGAGGAGGAGGCGGCGCAGCAGAGAGGGCCCAAGGATGAAGAGGCTTTTCCAGGTGTGCCCAGCGGGAGGGTGGTCCAGGCAGAGCACACAGCGACAGTAAAGGCCTGCTGTGAGGGAGAGCAGTGGGCGATCAGGGGCCTCCTGGCCCAGAAGAGGTGCCTGGGGGCTGCGGGGCGCGCACTTGCTTCCCGAGAACCCGTCTCTGGAGACATCCTCAGCAGAGACAAGGCTCCAGGAACACTGTCCGGGCCCAGCGCCATAGCTCATGCGTGTAATCCCAGCACTTCGGGAGGCCGAGGCCGGCGGATCACTTGAGGTCAGGAGTTTGAGACTACACTGGCCGACACGGTGAAACCCTGTCTCTACTAAAAATATAAAAATAAGCCAGGTGTTGTGGCAGGCGCCTGTAATCCCAGCTACTGGGGAGGCTGAGGCAGGAGAATCCCTTGAACCCGGGAGGTGGAGGTTGCAGTGAACCGAGATCACGCCACTGTACTCCAGCCTGGGAGACAGAGTGAGACTTTGTATGAAAAATAAATAAATAAATAAATAAATAACGCTGGCCTGGGCTGGCGCTGACCCAGGCCCCGCTGCCGGGGGTCTCTAAGCTCTTGAGTTCACCCCTCACCTCCTTCAGTTCTCAGTTCACAAGCCACCTCCTCCTCTCCCCCCCAGGCCACCAGCACCCCACACTCATTTGCCTTCTAGTTTTGCCCGTAGCCCCTGCCAGTTTCTAAACCCCGCGTCACCATCACGTGTGTTATTTACGTGTACCTCCTTGAGGACTGGGACGTATCCTGGCTGTTATCTCCTCCGCTTACACCCCGGCACCCAGCCGAGGAACGCAGCAGGGCTGGAGAACTATGCGTGGAACGAATGAATGGATAAACAAATGAATGAATCTCCTGGTCTGCAAAGGGTGGGAGGTTCAGAGGTGGGGCCTGAGAACCACTTAGTGATGGCTCTGCACCCTGCCTGGCCCTGCTCTGCTGCCTGGGTGGTGTGGGCGCTGGGAGAGGGGTCAGGGTTCTTCTCACTCTCCCCCCGATGAGATGATGGCTGCAGTGGAGTGCGGGAAGGCAGGGCGAGAGAAGCCCTCCAGACCCAGGGGCAAGACTCAGAATTCATTCAACAAATAGTCATGTGCAGTATAACAGCGTTTCGGTCACTGACAGACTGCATGTGTGAAGGGGGTCCCATAAGACTTTTTTTTTTTTCGAGACAGAGTCTCTGTCACCCAGGGGTTGAAGCGATTCTCCTGCCTCAGCCTCCCGAGTATCTGGGATAACAGGTGCGCGCCACCATGCTCAGCTAATTTTTTGGTTTTTGTTTTTGTTTTTTTGAGACAGAG